AATTTGATCTATACATGAAAAACTTTTTAATTTAACAATTAAATTCTTAAAAATTTGATATAGAACATTAATTATTAAATAGAATAAATCTATCAAGACTTACTCTTGAAGTAAGTAAATTTTTTCTTCATTAAAAATGAAGATAATTTTACCACAAAATAAAAAACAATTAAACAATAAAATAAAATATAAAAAAAATATTAATATATTTATTATATTAGATATAACAACATAATTAAAATATAATTAATAATATATATTTTATAAAATTATTAATATTTTATATATAAAAAAAAGAATGAAAAAAATTTTAGTGGGGGCAAGTGCCCTCACTATGATTAACTTAGATCTGTCCTCGCATATGATTGTGTGGTGAAATGTTAGTCCTGTGTATCCTCTTCCTTTATTTCAGGTTCTACCTCTTCAAGGACAGGTTGTTGTTGGGGTACATCGTTAATGACTTCAAGAAAAAATACCATGTCATTTCATCCTTTACTGGTTTCAATTAGGTCCCTAATAAATTAATTAGTTTCAATGTGGGACTTCCGTCCAAATTTCTTTAATGGTGGTAACTGTTGGCCATGTGGATGCCACGTAGATGACACGTGGATGCCAATTTTTTTGAAAATACCTGGAACCAGAACGACCTGTTCTGAAACTAGAACGGACCGTTCTGGTTGCATTTTTAGTGTGTTAATTTTGCAACTGGAACGGGCCGTTCCGAATGCAAAATTAACACATCAAAAGTTTAACCAGAACGGCCCGTTCTGGTTTCAGAACGGGCCGTTCTAGTTTCAGAACGTGCCGTTCTGGTTTCAGAACGAGCCGTTCTAGTTCCAGTTGTTTTCAAAAAAATTTGCCATCCACGTGGCATCCACATTGAAACCAATTAATTTATTAGGGACCAAATTGAAACCAATTAATTAGTTTGGGACCAAATTGAAACCAAAAATAAAAGTGAGACTAAATTGAAACAAACAATTATTATAAGGGACCAAAATAGGTTTTTAAAAAAAAAAAAAAAAAAGAGGAGAGAATAAATGCTATCTATGGGCTTCTCAGTGGATATATGTGAAAGAGAGGTGGACCAATCATTCAGGTTAAGTTGATTGATATTGATAATGTTCCTGACCATGGGATTAGCCGTTCAAGTGTTAAGAAGGAACGTCAACACATCGAAACAACCATGGAATCCAATTCAAAAATGACATGTTGGATGACAAGTTGCTACAATAAGTTCATTCTTGTGCTGTTGCAAGATGACAACAACCAAGGAATCCTTAATTATTATTATTATTATTATTTTTATTATAAATTTTGTTGCCACTAGTTAACCGTTGAATGTAGTTGTAGGCTTGGGTCATATCCACTCAAAAACACAAAAGGTTAACAATGTCTACTTTTGAAGAACTACATAATTACCATTTTCTCTGGTTAATATTAACATAAATTTGTTGTTTAAAAATGTGACACTTTTGTTATTGACTCCTTAAACATGTTCATTGAGTATTGAATAACTTTTTAAAATCACTTTTAATTTTTTTACCATTATTTTTTATATACTAAAGTTATCTAAAAAATCAACCTTTTAAAATGATATATAATTGGAATATAATATTCTCAACCGTTCAGATGTTAACTCAAAATTTAAAAACCAAACATTTCATGTAAAAAATAAAAACACACCGAAAGTTCTTAAAGTTTAATATAATCACACAAAAACATTTTTCCTATAAATGACCAGACGGATTTTTCCCCCTATAAATGATCAGACAGAAAATGAATATAATTTTTAAAATTTAAAATGTTAGATGTATTGCATGTTTGAAACGGATTAACCCTCAAATATAATTATTTTTCCCTAAAAATTAGAAAAATAAATAATTTTTCTTTAAAATAAAAAACCAAACACATAACGATGACGAATCAGAAATATGGTCAATGTATTTTTTAGTTTTCTGTTATTTCCCCACTATCTCCGTACCTGTTTGTTTTTTGCATGGAGCGGCTAGCCCTTCGAATTTCCGAGATGCTCCAGGAGGGTCAGTGGAAACCGATTCAGCTTTCCCCTGGGGGGTTACCACTCTCACACCTTCTCTTTGCTGATGATATTTTACTGTTCTGTCAAGCTTCCGAGGATCAGGCTCAGTTGGTGGCGTCAATCTTGGGAGAGTTCTCGCGTTCATCAGGTTTGAAAGTCAACTTGAATAAGTCTCAGTTCGTGTGCTCTAGAAGGGTTTCTCAGAGGAGGATTGATACGTTGGAGGGGTTGCTAGGGATTGGCCACACAACTCGGATCGGGAAGTATTTGGGGGTTCCCATGACTCATGGTCAGCCGAGGTGCGCAAATTTTTATGATGTGATGGATAAGATCCAGGGTAGACTTGCGGCTTGGAAGTCCAAGCTTCTTAATAAGGCTGGTAAGTTGTGTCTAGTAAAGTCCATTATCTCCTCTATTCCCACTATCTCCTTTATTCCAGTTTATAGCATGCAATCTCTGTGGCTTCCTCAAGCAGTGTGCAATAGAATTGATCAGGCTTGTCGCCGTATGCTCTGGGCTAAGTCCGACAGTACACGGTTTTGGTCCCCAGTGAGTTGGGAAGTTGTTACACAACCTATGACGTTGGGCGGCCTAGGGGTTAGGGAGGCGCGAAGGGTGAATGTGTCGCTCCTTGGGAAGTTAATTTGGGATCTGCTTACGGCTCCACAGAAGCCTTGGGTTCATATCCTCAGTAGTATATACCTACATGGTGACTCTATCCTGTGTGCGCAAAATAGACGGGGTGCGTCTCCAACCTGGTTAAGTCTTATTAAGGTCATTCCTTCCCTTCGGGAGGGATTCGAGCCTCATCTAAGATCGGGTGCCTCATCCTTGTGGTACATGGACTGGTCAGGGACTGGGCTGTGGTGCGGGAGAGTTCCTTTTGTTCATATTGCTGATACTAACAAAACGGTCGCAGACTACTGGGTTAGTAATCAATGGGACTTCAATTCCTTGTATACTGTTATCCCGGCAGAACTGATTCACTCGATCCAACGGCTGACAGTCTCCAACGCCTCCTTGGGGCTGGGTCATTTTTCTTGGTGGGGGGGTTGCTCGGGGGGTTATACAGCCGCGTCTGGATATCGTTTCTTGAATACGGGTCTGTCCATAGAAGAGGATGAAGTTTGGAAGAAGCTCTGGAAGTTAAGGCTCCTTGAGAAGGTAAAGTTCTTCTTGTGGCAATGTTTTCACTCAGCCCTTCCAACGAATCAGGTTCGGGCTGATAGGAGGTTGGCAGAGTCTGGTGCGTGTCCGCGTTGCTCTTGCCCTCAAGAGACTATTTTACATGCACTTCGGGATTGCCCGTACTCGAGGGAGGTGCTGATGTCTGGTGGGGTCAGTGTGGGCTGGTCTTTCTTTGTAATGGACTGTTCCCAGTGGCTGAAAGGGATTATTCTGCATCCGGATGCTATTAAGCTCTCCATTACCTTGTGGTGGGTCTGGCGGTTCAGGAATAACATGGTGTTTAACGACGAGCTTTGGTCGGTCTCGGCGGTCCGTCGGAAGGTGATAATGTCTACGGTGGAGAATAGTGTGTACAACGCTCAGAGGCATTTATGGGTGGAGCAATCTCTTTGGAGGCCTCCGGAGCATCCATGGGTCAAACTAAACACGGACGGGAGTTGGTTGAGTGAGAATTCTGCTATGGGGATGGGTGGAGTAATTCGAGATTCGGCCGGTATGTGGAGGGGAGGATTCTCGCGGGGAGTTCGTCATGGGGATGCGTTACGAGCGGAGCTGTTGGCCTTGGAGGAGGGTTTATCATTTTGTTGGGAAGGTGGGTTTCGGAAGGTGAGTTGCGAATGTGATTGCCTGGGAGTAGTTACGCTATTTCAAGACCGGTCAATGGAGAGGGATCATCTGCATAAGCACTATGATGTTATTCGTCGTATTAAGTGCATGTTAGCTAGGGACTAGGGAGTTTATGTAAGTCATATCCCTAGAGACGTGAATTCAGTAGCTCATACGCTGGCTAGTTGGGGTGTAAGGAACGTAGGTTCCAATGTATTTTGGAGGAGTCCTCCTGATTTTATTTTGTTACCGTTAGGTCGAGACTCTATGTCTTGAGTTGTTTGCTGTTTAATTTCATTCTTTACCAAAAAAAAAAGATAAGAGATCAAGATTCAAGAAGGGTTCATGATATATACACTTCCTTTTTTCTATAAGTACACCTCTTTTTTTAAAAAATATTAAATTTTTAAAATATTCTTATTTATTTTTTTATTTTTTAGTTTTATATTTATAACATTTTATTTAGTACTTTATTTCACACATCTTTCCTCTTTTTCTTTTCTTCAATTTTTACATGTACTCTCTTACTTTTCCTTCACCTCACATATTTTAGTAGCATGTAAAAATTGAAAGAGAAAAAAAAAGTGTGAAAAAAAAAGAAAGTAACAAATTAAAAGTTGAAGGTGTAAAATTAAAAAAATAAAATAAAAATTACAATATTTTATAATTTTTAAAAAAATAAAGGAGGTGCACTTATAAAAAGGCTAATGATATATATACCTCCTTTATTTTTTAATAAAAATTATAAAAATATTGTAGTTTTTTTTAGTTTTCTAATTTTACACCTTCAATTTTCAATTTACTATTTTCTTCTTCTTTTTTACACACTTTTTTTTTTCTCTTTTAGTTGTCATATGCTACCAAAATAGGTGGGGTGAAGGAAAGGTAAGGGGGATGCATGTAAAAGTTGAAGAAAAAAAGGAAGATGTGTGAAAAAAAATACTAAATTAAATATTATAGATATAAAATTAAAAAATTAAAATTTTAATTATTTTTTTGTAGAAAGAGATATACTTATAGAAAAAAAGAAGTGTATATATCATGAACCTTCAAGAAGCGTTATTGAAAACTAGACAAAGAGGCCCAAATAGACAAGGACCCGGCCCATTTCCCACCTCCATTTCAAATTTAGGGTTTCCACATTCTAGATGGTTCACCGTTCAATTGTGCTTCCCTATAAATAACAGCGGCAAGTGTTGCTCGCACTGTATCCCTCTCTCGCTAACCTTCCTTCGGTATCTCAGGTTTTCAATTTCCATGAGGATGTGGATCTACTCGTTTGAGTTTTTCATTCATTAGGTTCTTTCTCTGTTATCTCGTTCGGAATTTTACGTTTTCTTGTGTGTCTGTTTCTTCTGGTATTGATCATCTGATGAGAAAAAAACTGCAACAATATGATTGGATTCATTCCATGATTCCTAGTATTTAAGTCTCTGATGATTGGTTTCTCTTTTTCTTTCTTCTTTATGGTTCTTCAATATGAATTTCCCTTTCTTTCTCTGTTGCTTTTGTTCTTGAGAATGTCTATTGCTTTCGTTCTCTGTTTTTATTTTTAAATTAGATTCGGTTGAATTCAAAGGCGAAGAGGTGTGATGAGTTTTACATTGGTCCGTGTTTCTGAATCACAGTGACCGACAACTTTTACCAATTTCTGATCTCCAATCGCAGATAAATTTGTTCCTTCTATGATTTATTTAATCGATTTTTCTTCCGAGTTTTACATTTTAATTCTGTTTCTTTGATTTCTTGATCTTTTAGGTTATTCTTGTGTTGGCGTGGCTCAGTGATTTTCTGCCTTAGTTGCAGTATACGCTATTCCGATTCATAATGTGAGCTGATATATTTTCTTAGATGAGAGCCTGTGCTATGTTTGCTTTTCGAAATTTGTTTTCATAATTTTGGATGAAAATTTTACTTGAAATTTTGTTAATTAATTTCTTAGATGTAGATATATAGAACCATTTTCTAGTTATTTCTATAGGTATTTGCAGTTCTGCAGTGATGATTTAAGAATCAAATTCACATGTCAGACTTCAGAGATTTTTCAAATCCATGAGAATGACAATTCTGTTACTGAGCAGAATGTGTAATTTATTTTATTTAATTATTTATATTTTAATTAATAATTGTGTTATCTAAAAGTATTTTATTCTCACATGTATTATGTTTTTAATTAAGTTACATTTGACGGGGGATTTCTCCGAAGGAGTCTCGTACTATTTAGAGAGCAAACAAATTGTGTTTGTATATTTCTCCAGTAACCGTCATAGATTAATGCTCACCGGCGTCGACGGCGCCGCCCTCACGGGTGGCATCTCCGCCGGAGCAGTCTCATATTCCATCGCCTTGTGGAGCGGCGTCGCTGCTTTTACCATTTGGGACTGGCCATGAGACGAACATTCCATGGTTGTATTTTGTTAATTTTTGTTATCGAGTTTTTATCTTTAATACCTCGTTCCGGATTATTCTTTTTTTTTTTTTTTTGGGTCTACGTCATTGTTTTTCTCTATTATTGGTCAATTGATGACATACTAACTGCAAGGATATGATTGGATCTTATTCCATGATTCATTGTATTTAAGTCTCTGATGATCAGTTTTTCTCTATTCTTTATATTTCTTGATATTCTTGTTTTCCTTTAGTTATTGAGATTAATGTTAGCCATTCCTTTTGATTATTTATTTATTGAAATTACCTTTCCTTTAAATTCAAAGGTGAAGAGATATGATGAGTTCTACATTGGTCCGTGTTTCTGAATCACCGTGACCGACAACTTCTTCCAATTTCTGATCTCTAATCGCGCCTAATCGCGTATTACTTTATTTATTATGTAGTCTTATTTGATTTTTTTTGATCTCTTAAATTGATTTTTACATTTATAGCCATGATTCCAGAATTTATTATCTGATCAGAGTTGGTTTATTTGTGATTTATCCGACTTATTTAAGTTAAATTGACGGGGGATTTCTCCGAAGGAGTCTCGTACTATTCAGAGAGCAAACTAACAGTGTTTGTATATTTCTCATGTAACCGTCATAAATCAACGCTTACTGGTGTTGACGGCGCTGCCCTCAGGGGTGGCATCTCCGCTGGAGCAGTCTCATATTCCATTGCCTTGTGGAGCGGCGTTGCTGCCTTTATCATTTGGGACTGGCCATGAGACGAACATTTCATGCTTTACAGATGAATATATACATTGTGTTTATGCTTTTATTGTATTGAATTGCACACGGCGTTGTATGACTAGGTGGAGCTGGTGACTATCATGTGGTGGGTGTGGAGGTTGAGAAGTAACATGATGTTCAATAAATGGAATTGGAATATTGAACAATCTGTTGCAGTATAGTTAGTTCAGTAGCTGGGAATAGTTTTACACTTTAAGGAGCTTCTTTTGATGGAAAGGCCTCTCTTTTGGTGCACCCCATTGTTCGGTTGATTTAAACTAAACGTAGATGGAAGCTGGATGAGAGGCACATTGGTTGCTATTTAGACATTTTAGATATATAAATATCGAAAATTATGTATAAGTATGGAGTTAGAAGTTATTTTTTTTTTTTTAATTTTATTTCTATAGTTTTTCCAATTTAGTTTGTGATATATTAAATATCGAGTTTAAATGTTTTTAATTTTTTAAATTTAAAGTAAATTTATTTTGGTTCTTTAAATTTAAAATTATTATTTTTAATTCTTTTTATTTTTAAAAATTTTATTTTAATCTTTTAGGTCAATAATAATATATTTAAAAATGATTAATTATGATAATTATCTAATATTAATTAAATTTAATGTAATATTTTTATTAATAATAAATAAATTTTATATAATTATGTATGATAAATGTTTTAATAAAATTTAAATATAAAGATTAATATATTTTTTTTAAAATTATAAAGACTAAAAATAATATTTTTAAATTTAAAAGATTAAAAATTGAGTATTGTTTATAACATAAAAGTTATTTTAAATCTTTGGATGACATATTATCGAGGTTTGGATGAAATAGTTGAACAACATAAGATATATTAGTTGAACAACATAAGATATATTTCGATGAGACTAAGACTTTTAAAACAAATTATTCTCATCGACAGATTTTTAAGTTTTTATATAAAGGGATCTCTTCTTAGGCATTGTATTTTATGTATATTGTCCATGTCAAATTAATTTTATACATGACAATTTACATGAACTCATTAATTTATATATCATACATATTAATATATTAAGCCTTTCATTAATATCCTGAAATCATATTTATATATATATATAGAGATTTATCTATGTCTTAACTTCAAAACACAAGAATAACATCATGAAATCTAAGGAATCTCAAACAAAAATCCTAAATGGAATGGAATCTCGCAATAGACATTGGGTTTTTGTTTAAATTGCACCCAAATAAAAACACAACATGGAATCCTTGGAGTGTCAATGAGTGAGAGGTCCTGCGAATAAACTTCACTCTTCTTGATGATGCCCAATGTTATATCGGAAACTACACAAATTACACATATTGTAGAATCGTGAAATTGTTAACATATCAAAACCAAATTTTCACATTCCAACTGGTAAAAGTATTTTAAACACGCAATTCATACAATTACATATTTTTAATTTTCTAATACAATCACTAATACGTTCCATTAGGATTTCCCACAGAAACGAGTAGTGGCAACAAAACATACATTTTTTAGCCAAGCTAAAAAATTACCAATATATATATGTATATTATTTATATCAATTAAAACATACAATGAGACATAAAGAAGATAAAGTCACATTTAGGAAAAACATAAAATATTATGTTGGAGTTATGTTTGAATAATTATGGCTGAATTTTATTATTTTTGTATCCGTTGTTTTCCAAAATATAAGTTACACATGTATGTAACGTGTGATAGAAGGTGTCACAACTAGAAGATGGATGGGGAGTGGAGTGAGTCAAATGAAAATACCAATTGATAAGAAGTTAAAAACTATCCTACTATAAAGTACTTTATAGACACCATGAGAACTATGAAAAAGATAAAGATTACAATAGGAATAATGTAACGACCCGCTATGGTCTCTACACTTAGTGGAATCGCACTACTACTAGTGAACTAAGGAAAATATTAAATTGGATAACTCATACATATGGGTATAGATAAGAATAAAAATAACCAAATTCTTTAAATACAATAAAATGTTAATAATGATACAAATTAAATTTCAAAATAATTATTTTGATTTGCTACAACCATTAAGTCAAAATAAAATTTAAAATAAATATATTATATTGTTATAATACTATTAATCCAAAAATAGAATACTATAAATAATTGAAATTTACATGAATGGGAACAAGAACCAATAAGTATATGTGCATTTTTTTCTCATACCCGATTTAATAAATCGGGTATTATCCGTACCCATATCTGATCAAGTTAAATTATTCTCTGTCAAAGTTAGGATAGGTTCAAACATTATCTACTTGTGTGAGTTTATTTTTCATTCTTGTATAATTTTAAAAATAATCAATATGAAGGTTAACAAGCTTAGAATATAAAATATTTTATATAAAAAAAAAAGCTTAAAACACGCTCTTTTGAACACAACTATCTACTAGAATTGACATCGAGATTGGAGGCTTGAGATAAATTCGTGTAGACTTAAATTTAATTCTTGTTAGTGTCTTTTTTACTGATTCAAAAAAATTCACTATTTTGAATTGAATTTATTTTACACATAAATTAAAATTTATTTGAAATTATAAAATTTGGTGGATCTATTGAGAATATATTTAAATATCCTTAATTTTTAAAGAATAATTTAATATATTTAAATATCTTTAATTTGTAAAGAATAATTTAATTTTTTTAGAAATATATTATTTATGTTGCAAATATTTAAATTTAAATTATTTTAAGTTTAGGATATCAATATTTGGATTTTTATATTTCAGAATTTTTCTACATATCTTAAACCTATAGATAAAAATATATTAAGTAGGGACGTAACTAGGTTAAGTTAGGTCGAATTTAGATAAATTTGCTATCTAACCTAAAATTTTAATGTGCTAATTAGAGTTGAATTTGTACTTTTTTTATTATTAAATTTAACAATCCAATTCGATCACAAGTAGATTGGATTGAATTTGGTAAATTCGGTAAACATAGTTAATTTATTTTTTTATTATACAAAATATAATATTTTATAATAGATGTAAATTATTTGATATCTTGTTTTAAATATAATGTTATTAACTGATAAAACAAATAATGATACAAATTAAATTTCAAAATAATTATTTTGATTTGCTACAACCATTAAGTCAAAATAAAATTTAAAATAAATATATTATATTGTTATAATACTATTAATCCAAAAATAGAATACTCGTTAATGAATAAGAGTGATAAAGAATATTGTTATGAACAAGTGATCACACTAATTTATTATTATTATTCTTTTATTTTTACTATTTTTATTTTATGACCGAATCAGATTAAATCATGGACCAAAAAAATCCTTTTACCCAACACAAATAGTGTTGGATTTTGATTAGGATGGATCGGGTCCAACTTGAATACTCAAAAAATTTGATCCAAACTCTTTAGATCACTCTGAATCAATTTAAATTTGAAGTTACATGTAACTACTTACACTCCTAATCTCAAGTTTCTTTCTTTTAGGACATATCAAGCTACTCTTTATAAAATCACTTCACAATTAAACTACAAATAAATAAAAATCAAATCTCACGCTCTATTCAATGAATCTATAATTATTTGTACTTTTCAATCAACTTTTATCATTGAGAAAGCGTGTGATTGGATATAATTTAACAAACGGCCGGTTCTGAAATCAGAACGACCCGTTCCGGGACTCAACCGGAACGGTCCGTTCTCCCTCCAGAACGGTCCGTTCTCCCTCCAGAACGGCCCGTTCTCCTTCCCAGAACGGCCCGTTCTCAACTTCAATATGTAGTTCAATTCAGTAGCTTGGAACGGCCCGTTTCAATTTGGGGGCCCGTTCTGGGCTACTGAATCAACTTTCTTTATTTATTTATTTATTTATTTTTTAACAATGTTACAAATAATATTCAGATTTTTCCTTCATGCCTCTAAAGGCTAAGGAATACATCTTTATAACTTAATATCTTTATAACTTAATATCTTTATAACTTAATAGTTATAAAGGATGATCATACAAATGTCATCATCGTAAATATAAAATAACTTAAAATTAAATATAACAATACACCAATATTCTAAGTTAATCTAATGTAATCTTTCAACCATATGATTTTCTTTCTTTTGGGCTTAAAGTCCATCCTAACAACATTAAAAACTAATTCGATCATTTAAGTCTCCTTGCAAGACTTACAAGGTACAAAGGCTATATTTTACGTATAAAACATGAGACTCATCTTTTAACTCACATGCTTAGTTAATCATATATAGAAAAATCACGTAAATACTAAAGTACATTCATATAAATAATTTTAGATAACAAAACACAACTTATACCCAAACTCGATTCTCTTAATCTAATCAATTAAAAACATAATTAATGCCTAAACTACACTTTTATACAATCAAATAATTAAATGCATAAATTAATTTCACAAAAATCTCTCAATTTCATCAATCAACATCCTATGGGAACAACGAGATCTCATAGATTCACAATTAACTTAAATAATTCACAATTCACAATGCATATAACTCAAAGATTAACCACATATCGCATATCCCAACATACATATACAATAATTATGAAAACATATTCTTGGAGTAAATAAAATCTTTCATAGTTGATAACATCTTTCATGGATAAAACAAGTGTCTCAAATATCATAAGGTAGAAGATTCACATTCACAACTCAAACATAACTCCAATGTAGAAATTACAAAAGAAAAGAAACTAAGGTTTTCAAAACAGTTTAATGGAAACAACATCCTCAGCTAGTCCTAACTACACCCCGATGTCACATGTCCTATTAGAGCACGCCTAACTGAAGTCTAAACTTTATCACCAACATCCTCATGCTGATGGTCACCTACAACACAATAAAATACATACATAGCGCAAACGGGGGAGTGATAAACATCTCACTCAAGTTAAGGTGTAAAAATAACGGCAGGCAACACACACAAATCATAACAAAGCACAACACAAAGCACACATTAATTAAACATAACTCAAGTCATAGATGTATTAGTAGCACATACACAAGTCACTCATTATGCAATGATGCCATGGACTCAACTCACAAATGCATGCATGTGGCACCCGTCACATATCACATATCACTAGTGTGCTACCTAAGCAACACACCTAAGGTAGTCTAGGATTACATGTTGGGAGCTACCCATACTCTCAACTAGAAGGATGTATTGCTAGGGGCTGGTCGGGATAGCGAAGCTGCGCAAGTTACATCTCGTGCTCACAAACGGGCAAAATCGAGACATCCAAACCGCACTATCCCCTAGGACTCTTCCAAGTTGTTACACAAGGAGGGTCTTCCCTAATGATGTACTCCACATTGTACCCATCACATTGATGCACATGA